CTCCCATTTCAAAAACTTTAAGATACCACCTCCATAAAACTCTAGTTTGTCCCAGTCAAGGCACACTACTCACCTCCTCAAATATGAAATATTTCAATGTATTACTCTGTATGGCCATACAGCTCTCCATTAGATATTTTTTACATACTTTTCCCTTGTGTTCATATTGTATGCCTAGACATGTGCGTGTATATCTGTATACACATACATATATATTTACATACATTTTTATTTATTCCTATCTATCTCATTTTCTCCATCGGACTAGGTTCTTCAATGATAAAAGCCAAGGTTTTCTGTTTCCTTTTTAACTCTTTCATGGCCTAATAAGTATTCTGCATATCATAGGCACTAAAGTAATATGGTTGACCAATGGAATATGATCTATTATCTTTGAGAATTTTTCACCCTGTAATTAGAGTGTTCCTGAAAATTACCTTTTTTTTTTAATGAAGAACCCAATACCTAATAAGAGTAAAGCTAGGTCCAATATTGGAATAATGGGTGCCAGAGGGAAAAATGCTACTTTACTTATATGGGGAATTAATCTTACTAACTCAACTCAAAATTTTCCTGATTTTATATTTCTGGCTCATTACAATGTTAACTCTCATGGCTAATTACACAAATTTGTAAGTATGGTATGATATTTGGTGATTAGATAGGAAGAGACTAAAAATAATAAAGTGAGTATAAGAATGTGTGGCCTTTGTCAATATTCCCTTGTTCTGTTCCTCCAGGTCAAATGAGAGAAAAGTAGGGGTAGAGTTGCATGTACTGAAGATAAAAGTTATCATATTAATAGTTCTGCAGTTTCTCACAGAAATATTAACGTCCTCAAAAGATACTGATGATCTCCAAAGTCCACATTATGATCAATAAACAAAGGATCCAGTTTTAGCCTTGATAAATGTAGGTGTATTTAAATGAGAGGGAGCCAGACACATAGACATGCTAGGGAGAAAGAGAAGACAGAAGGAAAGAAAAAGGCTCTAAACTTATTCTTCAAAAGCAGCTGCAAGTGGATTACGATCATCCTCTTGTTTCTCTGGAAGGTTTTTAAAGTTTCTTACTAATCTAGAACTAACTTCTTCTGGAGTCAGAATTTACCCAGAGGAGGGTTATGACATATCATATATGATGGAGGTATGCCTTAACTAACCACAACAAAAAAAGTACGTCCTTTATAATTGGTATTTGATGATTCTCTCTTTATCCTAGTACTCTACTTTAGTTTGGAAAAGTGCTCTAACTGTTGATTTCTAAGCTAAGCAATGACTTTTGACTAGGAATGTGAGAACTGAAAGTGCTATTACACAGTGGTCTTAAGGATAATCCCATATTCAGTTTCTCCTCCAAGCTTTACTAAAACATAGGCCATCAAAGACATAAATTAGCAGTAACATATTTTTGGAATTTAGACATTGAACAATACCCACTTTGATTTTTTTCTCATCCCTTTTAAACACAGATCAGACCTGGATTATCACATCCTTCCAAGTACAGCAACAACCAAGCTAGTTACAGCAATGTTCCAACAAGTGATCCATGTGATTTCCATTTACCACATTTTACAGCAAGATCTGATGGTGGTCAAGGTGTGGAATAGTGGAAACATGGTGTAATGCCATATATGAGGCCCAGTGGGGGGTAGGGAAGAAGGGAGAAGACATCCATTCTTCTGGAAATAAGATCTGCAGTCATTTACCAGACTGAAAATCAGGGAAACCACTATCAGAACCTGCAATTAATTAGGGTAGCCTTGGAGTAGATCTGACCAAGGATTTGTATCCTGCACCAAAGGCTAGCCAACACTGAAAGCAGAAATGTTTGAGAGTAATGAAAATGGCTGTTCGGATCACAGCTTACCAAGTTCTTTCCCTAAACTATGCAATAAATCATTAAACAATAGGATCAGAAGGCTCTGGCAGAGATGATATAGTCTGGTTGCCTAATTCCAGGTAGATTTACATAAATAAACTATCTAAGAAGGATACTTCTAGAATCTTCTTTTAGTGTCCTTTTAACTGTTTGAAATGGACTCTAATTTGAATGCCCACTTACGATTGGAATTTCAATTAAAAAAACATAAAACAAAAAACAACACACCAACTCTTGTAAAAGGCTTCTCTTGTATTTCCTTACGAGTTAAAGGATCACAGAATTTAGAGATGAATCTTACACATTATCTAATCTAGTCCTTTCATGCTAAAGATGAGGAAACTGAGCCCAGAGGAAAAAAGTGGCTCGCTCAGAGTCGGACAGGCAGTGCGTGCACTGCAGGTCTTTAAAACAGTTTTTGACTCTACATCCTATCACCTATTCAGAGTCAATCAATGTGATCTAAAATGGAGATGTTCAGTGCAGCATCTCCATGGGTGGATTTTCTGATTAAATAAAACACTAATTGATTATAGAATTTCCATGATGCTTTATAGATTTCAGTTTTTTAGGAATCTAAGTGCAACTGTGCTCTACAGTATGAAAAAGAAATAAATGCCATCTGCTACAAGCCATTTACCCAAATTATTATGTTCCTTAATAAGACAAAGACACTTCATTCTTTTAGTGACTCCTGAAAATACAAATGGCTAAATTCCCCAGATTTTACGAAGCCTAGATGGTATTAATAGGATTCAACTACCAGGTGCAGGGAGATTCCATTAATAGGTTTTCACCTAATTTTTCAGCATGGTCAAATTTCAATTACCCACCTTAATGGGGGAGAGAGAATAGCATAAAAAAGTAAAATCTAAACATTTGAACCAATGGTTCTAACCTTTCTTCCCGGGCCAGTGCTGTCAAAATTTTGCTTAGCCAAATTAGCCATGTTGATTTTCTACTTTTCTGGTGCTATTCACATTCTAGGAGTGGGAGCAGTGCAAGATTATCCTTCAGACAGCAATCATGAAGCAGAGGAATGGAAATAGCATTATGGTGAAATATAAAGAATCCTGAATTGATATTCAAAAGACTTGGGTTCTAATTCCCACCCTCTTATTACTACCTGTATGACACTGGGCGAGTTGTGACTTCTCTGGGCTTTAGTTTGCTCATTTGCAAAATGAAGGGGCTGAACTAGATGATCCCTTAGGCCCTTTCAGTTCTAAATCTTAATGGTTAGGCTTGTTTTGCTTGTCAAAAGGCAGATTTTAGTGCCATATAAAATAAGTGTTTAACAATTACAGATGTCCAGAAATGGAATGGACTGCTTTGGGAGGTGATGAATTCCCCTGTCACTGGATGTCTTCAATGGAGTTTTGACCATTGTCATTTGGAAGCACTTAGAACTAGCTAGCACAACTACAGTTTCAGTCCTAGTTTCTTAGACAATAATTAGTTATTATGTGGCATCTACAGCACACTATAGAGCAAAAAGGAAAAGATTTGCAGTGAGTTAAGAGTTTTCTATCTGAAATTGTGAAAATGCATGAAAACCCCAAAAGAAATCAAATTTCCCCAGCATGAAGTAATAGTTATAGGTCATAACAAAGCTAAGAGAATAGGAGAGGAAAATACAAAGATGAACATGCTGAGAATGACAAGACACAAAAGATTTTTTTTCTTCTTGCCTTGGAAATCAGGACATATTTGAGTTTCTGGTTAACTATATATCCCTAAAGAGAAAAGTTTCAAGACTCATACAAAGCAGATTAAAGCTAGAGACTTTGATCACTGGTGAACTATAGTGATAGAGGTAACACAATATAGTAGAAAGAGCACAATATTGGAGTCCATGTTTTGCTATTTATTACCTGTGTGACCTTGGGCAAAACATTTAACCACACTGAGGTCCAGTTTCCTAATCTGTAAAATGAAGGTGTTTGAATCAATGATCTCCAGAGGTTCTTTCCATCTTGAAATCTATGATCCTAAGCCATATATGTAAAACTGAATAACAGAAGATAGAAAGAGGGAGCCAGTACAGTATAGTGCAAAGAATCATAGTTCTCTGGAAGTCTGAGTCTCAGAAGAACTAGGTTCTAGTCTTACATCACTACTTATTAGCTATACTTAGTCCAAGTTTTCTCATCTTTAAAGTTAGGATAATTATAGCTCTTTTCATCTCACAAGATTGAAGATCAAATTAGATAAGGCATGTGAAAGCACTCTGTAAACTGTAAAAAGCTATAACATTAAACTAATATATTAGAGAAGTTCATGTGCAATGAGTTTCAAACACCCTCATCTCTCAAGACATATGCCCTATTAAAACCTATAAATTCCATCTTAGCTTGAGAGAACCTTCCTATTCCCAAATCTTTCCTCTATAGCGAGTCAAAGATTCTGATCCCCGTATAGACATAGTATTCTAGAACCATTTATTTTTAATCACCTACTACATGCAAGGCATGGGAGATACAAAGATAAAAAACAAAACAAAACCCCAAACTATTGGATTGTATGAGTACAGTATTGTTCTGTGTGAGTAGCCACACAGAAAATACTAATGAAAATAAATAGATTATGATCATTAGATTCAGAGTGGAAGGATCTTAAGAGTTATCTAGTCAAACTCTTTTGTTTTACAGATGAAGACACAGAGACCCAGAAATATCTAGTGACTTGCCCCACATCATAGAGGTGTAGGTAGCAGAACCGGTGTCTGAAATGAGGTTTCCAAAACCAGGACTTTTTCCATTAAAATGGCTCCTTTTCTTACGGTCATTTGAAACTGGATACATGTTCACACATCTAGAGTGATATTAGCACAGTCCATCCTAAAGGCAGAGGATATAGCCTATATATATATATATATATATATATATATATATATATACACACACATACACACACACATACAGACATACACACATATATACATATATATACACATGTATATATATTTATATATATATATATACACACACATACATCCTCTCAAATCTTGTTGGAAGTAGAGGGAGTAAGAGAGTACAATTAATTGTTAAACAATTAATAAAATTTTCATCCAGACCCACTATATTTTTTAAGTCACACATAAAACACCCACAACTCACCTATTCTTTTCCATTTCATTGTGTGTTGATCTGAAAAGAGAGGGAAAAAAGACAGTAAGATTATTCTTGCCTAGAATGGCCATAAAAATATTACCATGTCTACCATTACAACCAGTCTACCAACTGCCAGAGCTAAAAGGGATGTTGACAGACAACCAGTCCGTATTCATTGTCACTCGAGGAATGACCAATTAGACTATTTGATGGGCTAGAAGAATGTATGCATCTAGATATTACTATGCTATAAGAAATGAGAAAGGGGATGGATTCAGAGAAACCTAAGAAGACCTGTATGAACTGATACATTGTAAAAACAAACATTTTGAAAGACTTAAGAACTCTGATAAATGTAATAGTCAACCATTTTTCTGAAGGACCAATGATAAGGAATGCTACCCACCTCCTGACAGACATGATGGCCTAAATATGCAGACTGAGACATGGACACACATTTTTAGACATGGACAACATGGAAACTTGTTTTGCTTGATTATACATATTTGTTGCAAGGGTTTTGCTTTTCTTTTCTCTTTTTTTCCAGTAGGGGGGCAGGGTTGGAGGGAAAAAAATTGAAAAATAGTTTAACAAATGTATGCAATCAGAATATTGTCCTAAGTAAAAGTAACAGAGTTATGAAGTGCTTATTTTCCTTTTGGGAAAGTAACCAATTAAAAGAAAAGGTCAAAGTGTACTTGAAGTACTCTAATGGTGTCACTCCTATGCACAAAAATCTTCAATGACTCTTTACTGCCCACACAGGAAAGTTCAAAGTCCTTTGCTTATTTTTCAAGGACCTCCACAATTTGGAACTATCCCACTTTTCTAGAATTATTTCATATTATTTTCCTCATTCCATTTTCTAGCTAAACTAGACTACTCTCTGTCTCTTGAACTCATCTTGAGATTTTCCAGCATCCTTTCTTTGTTCATGATTTTACTTAGGCCTAGAATGTTATCTTTACACCTGCTGACTTCCTACTCATTCTTTAAAACCAAATTCAAAAGCCAGCTCCTCCAAAAAGCCTTTCTTGATTCCCCCATCAATAATGACTTACCCCCTCAGACTTCAAATAGCATTTTCCTTGTTACCAATAATGTACTTATGTAATACTGCATATTAAATTTATCTGTATGTGTATCTTACTTCCCTTTTAGACTGTAAGTCCAATAAGGGTAAATTGCATGTCTATGTTAAGCTTTGTATTTTCCCCTAGGAGAGGAGTTTTATTGAAATGTGCATTAAATTCACAAAGAGAAATAACCCCACACCATATGTGAATTTAGGGTGGTATCAGTAGTAGTAACATCCACCTATTTCCCCTAGGGTGAATGTAATACAGCAGTCATCATTAGATCAGATGCCTTTTTGCTGGTTTGGATTACATAACAAAATCTCAAGTTGTTTTACTTATATCAAAAACAAGTTGTCTTACTTTGACTAAATGATATAGTTTGGAATGAATAAAACAAACTTCATAGCAATCTTACTACTAGTAACATCACCCATATTCTAAGTTCCTGATGAAGAACGGCAACATAACACCTTTTAGTAAGGAGTTGAAAAAACGCAATTTTAGAAAGATTATCAACTTGCTCAACCAGTGATGAGGGTTAGTGTTATACCATATTTCCAGTTTTGCTACCAGTATGTCCCATAACCTATGAAAGGAAGCATGTTACTGCTTCACTATGCTGTCCTTGTCCTCTCCATGAGATATGGCTAATACTACTACTTGACACATGAATTAAAACCTTCAGGATAATTAGCTTTGATATCTATAAATCTTTTTGATGGTAAACAAATCATCCTAAAACATAAAAACTTGATTTCCTTTTTCTTTTCTTTCTCATTAAAACTTCATATCCCAGAGACCTTTGGGAGACAAGTTTTAAAGCTTGGTTTGAAATTTCCTATTTCATAGGCCACCCCAGAAACATCCTAGAACAGAACAAGCCAGTAACTAATATGAATCCATACAAGTGCGGATCCATGAGTTAGCAGTTGTAAAAGGGCTTTCAGAACTTCGGGTGAAAGTTAGAGTGGATATAAAGTCCTAATATTAGTGTTCTTATAGTTGATCTTTAATAAAAAAGCATTATATGGAAAAGGTTTCTACAAATGCTATTAGAAGTCAACAGTCTCCTAAATACGTTTAGTCTGGGATAGGAAGAGCTTCACCAGCCATCTGGCCCATCAGTTTTCAGATTAGGAAAGTGAAGTCAGAGAGGTAAGGCGACCTGCTCAAGGTCACAGAGGTGGTAAGTAGGAAAGATGAGCTGAAGCCCAGGTCTTGATACCAAGTCCAGTACTTCCCCACTGTACCTGGAAGCTGTAATTTCAGAGAACTTTAAAGAATCACAAAATAGGAATTGAATCTGACTATGATGTAGACTTTTACAAGATAGCATCATGATAGACAATGAAGTAGTGGGCAGAAGTGAACCTCAGCCTAAGGTCTCGGAGTTGAGCACTTACATGAACAAGTCACAGAAGATTAATCGTAGAGGACTAGAGACCACCCTCAAGAAGTTCATTCATAGTAGTTACTGGCTTATTCTGTTCTAGGATGTTTTGGGGGTGACCTATGATATAGGAAATTTCAAACCAAGCTTTAAAACTCATCTCCCAAGGGTCTCTGGGATATGAAGTTTTAATGACAAAGAAAAGAAAAAGGAAATCAAGATTTTATGTTTTAGGATGATTTGTTTACCATCAAAAAGATTTGTAGATATCAAAACTAATTATCCTGAAGGTTTTAATTCATTCAGTTTGTCATACATAGCCTTCTTTATTCCATTGTTAAATAATGATCCAGAATTTTATTTCCTAAACCAGCTAGCTGGATGGCCATAGTTTATAAAAATGTTGATGAAGACCTTTTGTTTAAGGCCACATGGCATTTTAATTTTAACAAAGATAAAATTTTACATCTTTTTAGATTATATTTTTGACTGTACATATGACTGTGACATGGCTACAACTGGGTAAGGTCCTCCTGTCTTGGTCAAAGGAACTATGCTTAATAGAGGATGGACAGGAAAAAAAGGATAGAATCAAGAGAGGGCAAAGGTAGAGAGTGGCTGGGTGTGTACATGCTTTTCTGGTCATAGCAAGAAGTAAACCCTAATTAAAAAGCAACTATACAGAATGTATGCATGCTAAATGTAAATTTCTTATTTATTTTAACAGTCAAAAATGTAAATTACAGTTTGGATATCAAAGTTAAATTTTTTGCTAGAAAGTATATGTCTTTTTAGGCTCTAAACTTACACAGAGTTGAAAAACCACAAAAGTCTTGACTATTTACTCAAGAATGTTGCTAATACTATAAATTTTAAACCCCCAAGAGGGACAATTTTCCTAATCTCTAGCATATTTCATTCAGTCATTCAACAAACACTTATTAAATGTTTATATAAATGTACTGTGATAAAGGGAGACATGAAGATAAAGACAGTGTCCCTATTCTTAAGGCTACAATCTAGAAAGAAAAGAAATAACAAGTACACAAATAAAAAAAATTTTGAACATAAATGTATAAAAGGACTTATAAGCTAAATTGTAGTCACTAATCATAACTGAGATATTCTTTATTTAAAGAATTAAGATTCCCAAAACAGAACTCAAAGTGACTACTTCTGAGCTCCTTCCTTCTATATTTGTTTCTATGCAAACAACTTACTAATATCTTATGTCAGCTGAAGAAATATATGCCCTTTTCCAATATTCAATTTGATTATTGAAAAGTCTTGATAAATGTCAAATTTCTCCATTTAAAAAAAGATAACATTGAAAAGAACAGCAAAGAATTATAGTCCTATTACTCAAGTTTTAACCATATCAGACACTTGGGAATACTCCTCAGTTACAGAAATACTTCCCCTTTCCAAATAGTCAGTTGTTTTTACTACCAGCTTGAAATAAAGCTCATTAGCAGTCTTTCAACTACTTATCCACTAATATTCCAAAAGCTGCCTCACTTTAGCAAAGCATGTTCCAAAAAGGCTGTGGTCTTCAATTTGAAACAAGGAACTGATTAAAAAACATTAATAGGGAAAAACAATCACTACAAGCACTATTCATTACCCTTCATTCCAAAAATCTAAAGGCAGATACTGCCATTTCCAAATAGGACCAACCAATAATTCTTAGTATTCTATTTGAATAGCTTTCAATGATCCAATCTTTACAATCGTGCTTATTGACTTAGGGCAAGGAACTTCCTTCTCTGAGCCTCAGTTTCCTCATCTATAAAATAAAGGATTGTTCCAAATGATCCTTAAGATTTCTTTCTAGTTCTAAATCCTATGATCCTGTTATCTAAACATTACAGATAGAATTAAACTCAATTTAACAACTTCTTATTAAATACTATCCGCAAGGTGCTAGGGTATGCTTGGTTAACCCCTGCATTTTCAATCCCAAGAAGGTCTGACATGAAATTAAAAATTATTCCTGATAAATGAATAGCTACTTTTTCATTACATGTACCAGGAAAAAGGAACCCAGAAATAACAAAGATAAAAATCAGTGAACATGGAACAGAAACAGCCATTCCATGGCCATGTAATACAGTAGTAATTTCACCCTATCACCTCATAACAAAAGCAATATTATAACCCTAACAAGGACTTGTGCGCAATACCTATTCAAATTAAGGGGTCAAACTACATTCCCTAGTGAAAAGTGTCACTGGTTAGGTAGGGCAATTACAGACACAGGTGACTAAGAAAATGACCACATTTAAAATAAGACAACTGGCTCATGCAATTGTTTGGTGATATCTTCACATTTAATTATATTCTCTTAAAAATCCTTGAACATGTCTATGCTTTCAGATAGCACGAATTTATTTAAGACTCCTGCAAACCTCATGTCTCCAACTCACAAAACTGAGGATACCATATTTACTATGGAGAAAAGAATAAACCTACTGAGAGAAATAATAGTTAATAATAATGGTTGCAAAAAAATCTTTTCCACTTATGAACTTAGCATGAATCTGGACCCATATTATTTATTTTCATTCTTATTCACTCCATAAAAAACAGCCCTTTATGGAATCATAATATGGGTAAGTGCTATCTTTAAGGATAATATGTATAACATAACACATGGGTTGTTTTGAAAATCAGGGATGAACAAAAGCAAAAGCAATGAATGTGCATTTTCCTGAACAGATATAATTTGAAAACAAATATTCCTCCTAAACATAAAAACTTGGTTAAATTTATAGCATAGCAAAACAAAACAAAACACCCCAAAACAAATACCAAATAAATGGCTCATGGCTTTAATTCATTTCAACAAGCATTTACTACCTTCTATGTGCTAAGCACTGTGCTTGGTATTGGGGATACAAAAACAACAACCAAATAGTCTCTGTCCTCTGAGACTTACATTCTATTGGCCTAATTTCTTTTATAGTGTAAAAAATAATAATACTAACTTATACTCACAATGATTCCAGATAACAAAGTGCTTTCCCATAAATCTTTTAATTTAATTCATACCACTATGGTTAGGTATCCCAGTTTTATAGATGAAGAAATGAGGCTTAGAGAGGTGAAGGAGGTTATTTGACTTATAATCAAAGCTACCTGACATTGGATAATTGGCAGAGGTGGTATTTTAACCTGTCTTCTAAGTCCTAGGTTCTGGTAAGAACACACCTTTCTTTGCCACACCTGCCTCTTCATTTTGCATAAGCACCTTTCTCAAAGAGCCATACATATTACATATACACTAGCAGCTCTAAATTTCATGTAATGCCAAAGTGAGGGAAAGAAAAATGCCAAGTAAATACCAAATTTACTTTTAACATGTCTTCCTGAACCAAAAGTATAGCGCATGTGTGTGTCTCATACATCTTGTAGTTCCACTTGCAACAAAATGGGGGTAAACTAGGGCTAGGAAGGCAGCAAGCTACAAAGTGATTGTTAGCTTCCTAGCCTTTAGTGGCTTGCACTGTGCCATAGGGACTGTCCAAATAGAGCTACTCTAAGGAGTTATTCACTGGGAAAAAAAAAAAAAAAACCCAAACCTCAAACAAAGGTAGCTAGAAAATCACATGAATCTCTAAACCAGTGACAGAAATGTCAATGTTTTTAATTTACTATCTTGGAAGACATAGTTCAACGGCTCCATAAAAATAGCATTTCAGAAACTGCCCATTCAACTTTACACACAGCAGGCTGAATCTAATTTGGATAAATTGACTTTCCAAGGAAATTCTTACCAATCAAGAATTACTGACAACTTCTGATCCCTAGCTACACTGAAAGACTGAACCATTTTAATAATTTCTCCCCGCCCCTCAAAACAAAACATATGCCAAGGTTTCAATTACTAAACCTCCCATCTATAGCTGTTAGTAGGAAGAAACAGTAAATAAATCAGCAACCCCAAAAGAGAACCAGCCCATTTAATCTAAATGCCAAATGAGAAATTCTATGACTTCCTATGCCAAATTGAATAATTTAATCTGTTTAGGGAAAAAAAAAATCCTTCACAATGAAAACAAACCAAAGGAAAGACACTGTCCAGCATTTCCAATTACAGGGAAGTTGCTCTGAATTTGCAGCTTTTGAAAGCATAGTATTGTCACTGCTGGTGCTTTCCCCCTCATTTCTTTTGCACTCTTCCCCAACCCCCTTCCCACAGGGAGGTAAAACAAAACAAATAAATCTCCCTCCCCCAAAACCACCTGGAGAAATCTAAATTCTCTTTTCCTCTTCCTCAACAAAAGAAATGCTTTCTCCACAGGCTGGAGGTTGTGCTGCACATTACTGTATCATTGATATGTACAGAATATATTTACAGGGTTGTGATCACAACAGGCAATTGTGTTCCGCAGTATAAGTGTACAGAGAAGGGAGATAATGGACTAAAGAAGAGATATATTTTTCAAATCACCTGCTGCTGCTGCTATTCTTGGATTTGCTCCTCCGTTTTAAGGCATCTCTGTCCTTGTTATTGTATGGTAACATGGAGGCATAACCATGTTCAGCTTCTAGAAAATCAGAGGATTCAGTCAGTAAATGATCCTAGATCGTTCAACCTCTCTTCCTCTACTTCCCCCATCCAGGACACGTCCCCACACTTGGGACAACCTCCTTCTATTATTATTTTTTAAAGGGATATGTTAAGACAAACAAATGAAAGTGGTATTCAGAGAACAATGAAAAAAAAAAAAACAAAAACCTCAACACATTTAAAAAAAAAAAAACATGCTCCGAGTTTTAGGCAGGTGGAAAGGAGGATTCCAGATCCTCATTGTTGAAAAAGAACAAAACACACCACCGAAGCTCAAAAAGCCAGATGTTTCTTATACTAAATACCCAGCAGGTTGGTGGTGTTTTAAATAGGAAAACACATACACATACACACACACATGCACACACACATGCACACACACGCGCGCGCACACACACACGAAAGATTCAGACGAACAGGATTCAGAGGAGTGGAGAATGGAGGGGGGGCGGGGTAGAATGGACCTTCGGGCTGTAAGCGTGGGGAGAACGTTAGGGTGAAGTAGGAGCGAGTCCCATTCGTGAGTGGGTGGTTAGCTCCGTGGGGGAGGGCATGTGGGTAGGGAACTTGGCTGAGGTAAATCTAGGGGTGTCTCTACATTTTAGTGAGAGCTACAGGTCTGCTTGCCTCCCCAGGAGGAGGAAGGAGATGCAGCGCGCACCAAGCTACCCAGTGTCAGCTCCCTCTCCTCCTTCCCTTCCATTCCATTCATTGCCTCGTGGTGGGAGAGGGGGCCGCTGTAGGATGGGGACGCCCCCACCCCACCCCCACCCCTGGCCCCGAGTTGAGGTGGGGAGGTTGGGGCGCTCGCGGTGTTGCCCTCCGCTAACAACCCTCGGAGCGATCAGGGCTCCCCGCCCCCACCAGGGCTTTGCACAAGGTCCCTCCAGCCAGTCCTCCCTTCCCCGTGTGTTTCCCCTTTAGGCCCCGGGGCACCCCTCCCCGACCCCGGCTTCGGGCCCTCAGGGCTCCGCCCCTGTGCCTGCCCCCTCCTCCCCGTGGCTGCTCCCTCAGTCCGTCTGTCCCCCGTACCCCGTGGTTGACTGCCCCCTCAGTCCGCCTGCTTTCCCTCCCCAGTGGTTGCTCTCTCAGGCCCCTGTCCACCCCCCACCTCAGGCCCCCTGCGGGAGTCCTCCCTGCCCCCGTGCACCTCGCTCTCGCCGCTCCAGGTAATCGGCTGCCTCCAGCAGCAACTGGATGTTCATCCGAACCGCCGCCGCCGCCACCGCCATTCTGCATCCACCGGGGGCCAGAGCCGCGGGACCAAACCCCAGCGCCCGCGGCCTCGCTGCCCGTCCGCTGGACAGACGAAGAGATGGACACCCCAGTACACACACACCACGCCGGGGACCACGATCCCTGGGAGTCGGCCAAGGGGCGACAGAGACACCGACACTATGACAGGACCCGGAGCAAAGGCACTGCCACCTACACTGCCGAGTGTTTATCTCCGACTCACCCCCTAGCCACCCCCCCCAAGCTCCTTCACTTGACAGACCCGCCTTGGAGGCCGCCCTCATTGGACACGAGGTTAGACGCCCCGCCCCTTCCCTTGCCCTATTGGGGAAGGGCACCGGGGTGCCGCCCCGCGGGCTCCGCTCCTCGCTCTGGTTGGGTGAGCTTGACAAGGCCCCAGCCCCACCCCCCCAAGTTCCTATTGGGCTACCAGTTCCTATAACTCCGCCCCACACTCCCTTTCCCAAGTTTTTATTGGTTCAGAGGTCCGCGACCGGGCCCCCTTTTCACTTCATTGGCATTGGCCAATTACTATGGAAGACACGCCCCTTCCTCTATCTACCATTGGCGAATCTTTCTTAAACATCCCCGCTACGATGATGTCATCCCTTTCTCTAAGACAGGTAAAGTGTGAGTGGTTGAACAGCAAATGCCCGCCCATCTTTATTCTGTCCTTTCATTGGTTGAGAGAGACAACACGTCCAGGAGGAGCAAAGCAGTTTCGCCCCTTTTTTACATAGACTCCGCCTTCGTGAAGGGTAGCGAAACCAGAGTAGGACCTGTTGACTAAGTCCCACCCCTCAGGAAAACTTGCAGTCTTCTCTTAAGGCTCCTTCAATGTTAGGGATCACGTCACTCTTGAGGTTAAGCCAGTCACAACCTGCAGCGAGCTACCACTGGGTTTGGGGCCAGGTGCCAGGCAGGGACTAAGGGGCCTGGGGATGCTAGCGCGGACCCCGAGAAGGGATTCAAGGTACGCTTCTGGCCGAGTCTTCGTGTAGCCCTTTGCTTCAAGGCTAGCTTATACCGATTTTGCCGGGATCATGTCTTTCACCTCATTCCTATGATTCATAGGACCATGGAATGCTTGAGTTTCACCGAATCATAGAATGTTAGGGCTGAAAGAACCATATTGTCTTGAGACTTGTGGAGGCTACTTTGTCCCAGAGGTGCTGTACCTTTAAAATCACCATTATCATAGAGATTGCTGTTATCTTAAGGAATAAAATACAATTTAGCGTTTAGCTAGATTGAGTAATTTAGCACCAGTGGGAACAATGGCAGCACTGCTGGGGTTAAGTTTCTTAACTGTAAGAACAGGTTCTTTCCTCCATCCCTGTCCTCCAATAAAAGTGCTAGGCTTCCATGGTCTGAAGCCAGAGGATCATAGGATTTAGGACTGGAAAGAATCTCTAAGGTCCCTTAGTTCTGAAACCTAGTGAAAATTAAGCTTCAGCAGAACACTGAGTGAGCATTCAGGGTCCTGGCAGAACATTCCTGAAGCACCTGCAATTCAGACAGTCTGTACCGTCAGTCACAATGCCTACACAACTCAAACTGCTTTCATATCTTCTCTTGCTACCATGTGTGACAGTGATCATTTGAAGTGTGTCACATGATTATTGTGCATAGGGAAGGGAAACAAATGCTTATCTGTCAAATGCCTCAGCAAGTAGGCCTATTGCCCAAACATTTTGCCAGAACTGGAATTGGAGAATGGGGGGAAGAGGGAGAGTGTTGTTCAGCTTTATTGAAAGCAAACTTCAGTCTGCATTTTACAGTATCACTCCAGTTCAAATCTGCTAACCAACCAACCTCCCCTCCTCAAAACAAACCAAACAAACAAAAAAAAAACCCTTAAAAACTAAACCTCCCAAAGCAAGCTAGAAGTAAAATTTCCAGTAGTGTCTGCAAACAATTTTTCCCTTCATAATGTTGGGTGCAGAGGATATTTGGTTAAGATCTGGAAGTTATTAGTTATTAGTACTTACAAAACAATTTGACATGGATTTTGATCCATCTATAATCTCTGTAGGCTTCTTGAATTATAAAGTAAAAAATTCAATATAACTTGTTTCAGGACATACCAGCAACTTAAGATCTTTTGGCATAAAAGCAATATTAATTATAAATAATATGAAAACTTAACATTTTCCCCTAGAGAGCTAAAAAGTTCATTTATACTAGTTTGGTTAAGAATATAAAAATGCCTGTGAGATAAAAGATGAAAGTTACTTGAAGGTAAGTGATAGAGGCTTACTATCTCTTCTCTATTTAAACAAGAGGGAAGGTGGGCCCTTGGAAATTTGCCCAGCTTTATAGGAACCAGCAGCAAAGCTTAAAAAAAAAGAAGATATCAATTCCCAAACCACTGGATGATCAAGAAAAACAAATGTATTTTTCTAAAACTTGAATAATTTCAGTTGTCAAAGATTTGGACAATTACTAAATTCTGGACACACACAAAACAAGTAGTCAAAGGATCACTTTAACCATCCATGAGGATGGTGAAAAGTTTTTTTGAAAAATACTTCTTTTTTATGCATGTTAATAATCTTGTAGTCAACCTTACTGGAACACACACACACACACACACACACACACACACACACACACACTCTCTCTCTCTCTCTCAATGGAAAATAGAAGGGCAAAGTCTAAACTCAAGGCAGCAACTGGGAAATTTAAACAAACCCAGGTTTGTATTAAACACAAAACTAGAACATCAGGTTTAATTAAAAAAAAAACCAACAACACAACCAAAAAACCAAAAGGACTGAATCAAGGCAGGTAGTACCTGTTTAATTATGCTACTCTACCTGCAAAAGCTAGAAGTTCCACAAGAGGGCTTTGGAAGGTATATGGTGCCACCTACTGGAAATGAGACAATATAAAATGTAAAACATGATGGAATTTCTCTCCACCTGTTAGAAATTATTATTCAGAAACAAAAACAATTATTATAGAACCATTACAACTAATTAAGATAAACATAAAGTAAACTTAAAAAAAACATACCTTCACAACATACAGAGGAGTCTTCGTTTCATTTTGCTATTTATATTCTTAACATCTTGCCCTGGACATAGTAGGCACCTAACAAATGTTTTTTAAACATTTATTTAATTTTAAGGTAAATTTGAAAGTATATAAAAATAGCAGGGGGCGGTATTGAAGAAAGCAACCTTTTTTATAATGGATTATTTCAAGATATTTTGAAAACCACTACCTTTCCAGAAGACTCAACTATACAGGTTAAGAATTATAGAATCTGAGAGTTGGAAGAGACCCTTAGTCTCTAGCCTAAATTCCCAGTCATTTAGAATTCTTTTCTTTAGCATATATTTAAAATGGTCATTTAGCTTCTGCCTGAACAATTTAGATGTCAGGAAGTTCACTGCTTCACAAGGCAGCCCATGCCATTTTCAGAGAGTTGTTATAAAAATTCTTCCTTTTATTAAGCTTATAGCTTTGATCCATTGCTCTTGAACAACACAAATACAATCTGTCTTCTTCTTCGTGCCAGGGTTTCAAATATTAGAATTCAATTATAATGCCTAACCTGAGTTTTATAAGGAAAGCTAGCCATACACAAAGGCAAAGTGGCTGAAGAATATAATGTGATGTTAAGGTTTATATGTAAGGTTCTTATGCATATAAATATCTATAAAGGTCTTAGTGTGGGATTTATGGTCACTATACATGTCCTCTTTTCTGGAAAAATCACATTTAAAATATTCTGTCTCACTATTCTTATGTCCCATTATTTTTATATATTGATGGATTTGCCTTTTTCAATGGTGCAGGTTGCCACTCATTCATGTTTTCTTCCCTTGTGCTATTCTTTTCCAGATTTCTTCCATAAATCTATCATACAGGATGTATCCTGCATACTCAGACGTATCTGCTCATTCAAAGGATCACAGGATCCTAGGTTTACAGCTGAAAGAGACATAAGAAGCCATCCATCTACTACAAATCCCATGGTTTTTTTTTTAAATATCATGGATAAAGGTGAAGTATCAAGAACAGAAATTTAAAGCTTTAACCATTAAAAAAGTTCCAAGAAATTCCAATTCCAATATTAGGGCAAATAGTAAGTGAATTTCAAGTGAATAAGAATTAGAAGATTGAGATCTACAAAAAAAAAGAGAATCATAGTCTGAACATTTTGATTGCTAAAGAAAACTCACAATGCTAGCCTGTATTTTGTACATGTATAGCTATCTCTGTAGTATGTAAGCACATCACTGATGATTCTTGTTGAAAAACCTGCACTAATATGTGTAACTATGGCAGCAAGGCAAGCTTGATTCACCATGTGTCCTGATTTTTTGGCTGTGGAAAATATGATCATTGTAGACATATGCTTAAAGGAAGCATTAGGTTAAGGAGGAGGCAACCCATTACCTAATACACAGTAGTAAGAATAATTCATGTCTCTACAATGCTTTAAGGTATTCAAAGTACTCAGCTGCGATAAGGGTTTTCCAACTATCTGGCTATTTTCCAGGAGTCTTTGTTAAAAGTAGAGCAGCGAATTAACCCTTGAACTGCACTGCTGATCATTTCATCCCTTCAAAGTTAGAAGAAATGACTGGAGAACTGTTACTATGTACTTAATTCTGACCAGTAAGAAGAAGAATGGATAAAATAGAAATGACAAGAATCTTAAGACAGTGTATGAAGGGAATGCTGAGCATAATCTGGCATACACCATAGAATTTAGGAAAGTAGATTTTTAAGTTTAAAGAAAAGACAGGTATGATGGCATGATTTTTACTACTATTTCCTCATCTTTGCTATTAACTACTGACCTCCAGCTCCTTCTCCCAACTTTCTCAATGACCTTAGCAACTGGCTCACAGTTCTTCTCTCTACCCTGTCCCCTGCCATAATTTTCAATATTCACGCATGTCCAAAACTGAACTTACTGCCTTTCCTAAACTTTTCCTTCTGTCTTCATTATTTCTAGCAGTGACACCACCAATCTAACTCTAAATCTAACTCAGTCACCAATGTTTAAGTTTTGCTTACCTTTGACCTTTCCCTCTTTCACCTCTTTAATACAATCAGTTACCAAGTCTTGTTGATTCTAACTCTGCAGTATTCCTTGAATCTGGTTCCCCTGTCCCCATTATATCACTTTCTTATGGCATGGCTACATCACCATACTGGTCACCATCTTCTAGAGACTCTAGTTTAAAATGA